AGGAACCAGAGACCTCCCACTGTCTGAGACCAGTACAGGATGGATGCAGCAGGTACAAATGCCCAAAGAAAAATACAACATACACATGTGTTTCCACTTAATTCATTTGCATTCAGCGATCAGGAATTCCCATTCATCTGTTCCATGGCCAAGGCTTAGGACGCAGTGGCGGTGGGTGATTCAGAAGAGTCCTTTGCTCTGAGGCTTCCTGGGCATTGCACGAGGGCTGACCAACATGGTAAGGGGTAGAATGGGAAACAGGGATGCCTCAAGAGGGACAAGGACTTGACCTTGGCCCAGGGGCCTGGAGAGCCCTCTATGAAGAGGATGTATCATCTGAAACATCCAGGCCTGAAAGAAGTGGAAGCTCTCCTCCAGAAAAGCAAGAGGAGGGAGCCACAAGCAGGAGTGGTTAAGGCAAAGGTCTTGAGGTGGAAAAACATCTGGTAGCTCTGAGGGCCTGAAAGAAGTCAGGCCTCTGTGACATGCCAAGAAAGGACTAGGGCCTCTTCTGCTCTGCCTTCTATCTGGACCCCCTCTCAGGCTGTCCGCAGTCAGCAGGCCTTTCAGAATTCTGCTCCACAGCCTTTCCTTTTCCACAGCCCACTGAGTGGTGACTGGCCACCAGACCTGTGCCAGGCACTGCAGGTTTACAGGAGAATAAGGCACTGCCCTGTTCTTAGGAAGACAGACTAACCTTTAGAGTGTGGCAGCTGTGATATGGATACGCCCAAGATATTCTGGAAATACACTTGAGAGGGAGCGGATCCAGGGCGGAGCGTGGTGGTGAGTGCTTCAAGGAAGGCATGACAGGAGAAGGTGGGCGCTGAGCTGAGTCTCAAATGGGTCAGATAGAGGGGTTAGCCAGAGAAGCTGAGGGGAAGGCATTCACAGGAAGGGAACATGTGTGCACAGTCATATGTGGAAAGCAGGTGGGGTTTGGAGGACATATTGCCCAGCTTGAGGTGGGGGTGCTAGGAAGTGGGGGAGTCTGAGGGGAGATGGTAGGAAGTAAGAAGTAGAAAGGCTGCCAGACCCAGGCCCACATGCCGAGCGGGGTGTTGGAGTTATGTTCAAGGTCATGGGGAGTCATTGGAGGTCCCTCAACAGAGGAGGGCCAGAGCGGATGCAAGGCTTCAGAAACTCACTGTGGCAGCAGCAGGAGGCTAGACAGGGGACGACGGGGCAGGCACCGAGGGTCTGTCACCCTCATCTAGGCAGGCAGTGGCTCAGGCCTGGGCTCAGCCACATAGGGAGAGGCCAAAAAGGGCTGAACGTCAGGGCCAAGGAGGAGATGGCTGTTGGGAAGAGGCCTGGGGCAGAGAGAGGAATCAGAGACAACACCCAGGGTCTGGCTTGGGTGACTGGCTGGGTGGGAAAAGAGGAATACTTGGGGAGTCACATAGTTCATTAAGGGACATGTCACATCAGAGATGACATGGGGCCACCCAGCTGGAGGTAAAGAAAGGTGTGAGGTCTGAGTGGGAGATGAGATGTGGGGCTTGTGAGTGGAGAGATGCAGACATGGTTGGGCCAGGGTGCTGAGGGTCCTGAAGACCTCCTGGAGGTCCACACGGGGGTGGAAGCATCAAGGAGGGGCGGAAGAGCAGAGAAGGGGAGAGTAGCTGAGCAGGGCTGGGCTTCCAGAAGGGAAGAGAGCAGGAGGCAGGGTCGCAGCCACAGGCCATGAGGCAGGAGCAGCTGGCTCAGGACTGTGTGGCTCAGGCATGTGTGGCTCAGGCATGGCATGTGCAGGTGTCAGGGGGTGGGAGGGGAGGGCTTGGCCAAGAGAGCCTTAAGGAGGCAGAACCATGAGGCTGGATAGACTGGGTGTAGCCCAGAGACTCAAGGCCTGGAGGCTTCCCCGACATCTGCCTGGCACACAGCTCCCTCCCCAGGGCTCTCACCACTGCCTCCCTGTGAGCAACTCAGACTGCCTCCTCTCTGACAGCTCCCAAGAGTGGAGACTGGCCCATAGTAGGTGCTCAGGAAAGTCATCACCTGAAAAGGCAAACGAGAGGTGGGAAGTGGGCCGCTGGTTGTCAGGTGTTAGCAGCACATCCCACGTGCATACCCCACAGCAGCGGGAAACGCTCCAGGAGGGTACCTCCTGGGAAGAGTTGAGGGAGAAAGGAAATGGGGACTTCTCTGGCCCTGGCAATCCAGGGAGCTGATCTCTCTGTGCCTCAGTTTCCAAACCCTCTCTCTTGCAAGGGTAGAATATAAATGTGCATGGCAGCATTCCAAATGCTCCCAAGCAGGGAAGCCAGGAGTCACTCAGAGTGAGCCTTCTGCCAGGTCCCCAGCCTAGAGGTCTGGGTTGCTCTAGGCCAGCCCCGTGACTGCCATTGGACCTGGGTCCTCCCCCTGCCTGTCGGGTGATGTGCCTCATGGGTAGATTTGTGACACTCATCTGGGAATGGAGCACAGTGGTTGATTCTGGAAAGGAGCCCACTCCTTCCATTCTGCTGCACTCATTAGCAGTTTAAGCAGTAGCTTTCAGAGCCACTGCCTGCCAACTCAGGACCTTCCAGTTACTGCTGACACAGGACTGAGGAACGACAATCGGCCTGGTGGTCCTCCAAGACAGTGGGCCTTTCCACCTGTTGACTTGTTCAGTGCTGAACTCACAAAAGGGCCCGTCTTGGGAGACCATTCATGTCTTGGAACTGTTCTGGCACATAACTCAGGCCTGGTAGGTAGGGCACAGCTTGGGGGTCAATGCTTATGGTGGGCCCTGACTCCTCAGCAGGCTTCTTGGCCCTTATCAGCAAGCCTCAAGTGGCCAGACTTTGTCTTGCTTTGGAAGAAGGAGGCCTGTGTGGCTATTGCATGATGGCCTGGAGGAGGTGACATAGACGTGCCAGTGGGAGAAGAGCAGACCCAGCAGAAGCACCTTCTAGACCATACCCTCACCATGAGGGATGCCAGGGCTTGTGTCCTGCTGGAAACCAGCATCAAATCACCTTCTTTCTTGGAAGGAGGTCAGGGAACTCCCACTGTACCAAAAGCACCTCCACATAGCCAGGCCACGGGCCCCAGTGAGCATGGACCTCCAGCTGGGTTCTGACTGGGTGCAGAGCCTACTTGCAGAGAGGATATTTGAGGGACAGAGGAAAACCTCTCAGCCTTCCTGGGTGGCCCAGAGCAGACAGTGTAGGCTGAGCCTGGATCTGAGGGGAGCTAGGCCCCTGGAAAGCTGTATCTGAAAATCTGACACGACCCTGAATGTCCAGGTGTTTGCTTGCTTGGGTGCTGCATGGGACATGATTGAGAAGGCAGTAAGCATCAGCTCCTGGGGCTGGGAGACAGAAGAGAAAGCCCACAGCTGATTGGAATCAGTGATGTCAGAGCTGTGTCAGGTGCACACAGGGTTCCACCACGGAAGTAATTAGCAGGGGATGTATATGTTATGTTAAGTGGGGTCTAGCTAGGCAAGTCTGAAATCTGGAGCACAGGCTGAAAGTTGGAGATATTCAGGCAGGAGCTGACACTGCATTCCACAGGCAAAATTTCTTTTTCCTCAGGGAAGCCTCCATTTTGCTTTTTAAAAAAATTTTTTAATGAAAAAAATTAATTTTGACTTTTTTGAGAGAGAGGGAAAGAGTGCGTAAGTGAGGGAACACAAACAAGGGGTTCCAGCAGAGTGACAGGGAGAGGCAGGGTCCCCACTGAGTACGGAGTGTGATGTGGGGCTCAATCTCAGGACCCTGGGATCATGGCCTGAGCCAAAGGCAGTGGCTTAACCAACTGAGCAATCCAGGCGCTGCTAATTTTATTTATTTATTTATTTATTTATTTATTTATTTATATAATCAAACAATAATTTATTTATTTATTTAAATAATTATCTATTTATTTATTTAAATAATTAAATAAATAATAATTTACTTATTAAAATAATAAAAAAATCTCTACACCCAACAGGGGCTTAAACTCCAGACCCAAGATCAAGAGTCTCATGCTCTTCCCACTGAGCCAGGCAGGTTCCTCTCCATTTTGCTCTTTAAGGCCTTTCAACGGATTGGGTGGAACCCACTCAGATTATCAGGGATAGGCTCCCATACTTAAAGTCACCTGGTTTTGGATGTTAACTTTATCTATAAAAATACCTCAACAGTGACACCTCAGTTAGTGTTTGATGGAATCACTGGGTACTGCTGGGAGGCCAGGCAGACACACAGAACTGACCCATAGCAGGGGTGATCCTAATACCTGCTCGCAGCTGCTGTGAGGAGGAAGTGGAACCATGTACAAGGCGGCGGGCACAGACTTTGGCCTGAAGACATCCAGATAGCAAGTATTTATTTTGAGCTGACTTGAGTCTAACTTTGGGCTAGGTGCTTTCCACTCACTCTTTATTCTTGAATAGATAGGGTTCTGCAGCCTGGGACTAGCCAGAGGGGTGTGGAGGGTGTGGCCGTGGAAGAGTCCTTGACCTCCAAAAAGGGCCTGTAAAATTGTGTCCTGTGTCTTTCACAGCGGAACTGTCTCCTAGCTTTCAATCAGCAACTCGGAAAACTAAGGACTTGGGGCTAAGCTGCTCCCTGCGCAGTCAGTTAGAAGTCCTCCAGCACTGTTTTAAACGATCCTATCACCTCCTGGTGTTTGCGATCACGTTCTTCTAGACTTGGGATAAAGCCTCCCTTTCCACCTCTAATGAATTTGGCAAAACTGTCCCTGACATCTCTTGCAGTGTCTCGGGGAAGGTGTGAACAAGGCAGGGCCGGCATCTTCGCCTCGAGGCGTGGAGGGTGTAAGGTGGCCCGGCGTGGGCGACGGAGAAGGGGGCGCTGAGGGAATGCCGCGCGCGCGGGGCCCCAATGTCCCGGAGCGGCGAGGTGCGGCGCCTTTAAGGTCCGCTGGGGGCGTGCTAGCCGCGGCGGCAGACGCATGAAGAGGTGAGCGCGGCGGCTGATCGGTCGCGCGGCTCAGAGTCAGGGCTAGCGGGAGGTTGTGGGGTGCGCTCCAGTCTCCCACCTCTTCCGCCGACACGCGGGCCGGCGGGGCATGCGCCGCGTACTCTGACTGGGCACCGACCGGGCTCCGGGAGCGCGAGGAGCCGCGGCTCCGGCCATGGGCAGCTTCCAGCTGGAGGACTTCGCGGCGGGCTGGATCGGAGGTGAGCCCCAGCCTGGATGGGAGGGAACCTCCGGGAGGTGAGTGTGCTTGCAGGATACGTCCGGGCCAGTGAGAAAAAGAGAGACCCGGCCGAGCTTACAGACCGTGCCATGATACGTCTGGGCGCCCCGCACCCCTGCGCCTCCACCCCGCGCACATCGTGCTCGCCGCCTGCTGCCGGAGTGCTCCACCGCCCCGTGCCTGCTGGCCTCGCTGTCCCTCGCCTGCTGTCCCTCGCCCGCTGCCCCGCCAGCGTCGCAGTTTCCCCCTGAGCTGCGGCTTTGCCTCAAAGTGAGGATCCCGAGGACTGTCTCCGGTAACTATTAAACCCGCCGTCGAAGCCGACAGCCAATGGAGCGCCCAGGCGCGCGCACACCCTTCAGAGACCGGGTGTGCTCCTGAGTTTGAGGACACAGCTGCAAGAACTTTTGGGTGAGGGTGGCAGTTGTCCCGGGCGCGCGATGGGGAGCCCGGCTTCGCGATCAGGCCGGCCCTAGAGGGCGCCCTGGCTGAAGGGTGCGTGCGGGGCGCAGAGCTGGGAGCCCAGCGCCTGGCTGCAGGTGCCCATTGCCAGATAGGAGGAACTCTTCCAGTTTTCAGCTTTTATCCACTGACTGTCCGGTTTCTCCTCCTGGCCGTCTTGGAGCCATTTTTTCCTTTGGAGCCGCTCCTGGAGCTGGTGTCTGCTGGGCCCGGGATGGGTTTGCTTGGGCAAGAGTTGCCTGCATTTCCTCGCTTCTCTGATCGTCTCTTTACAGTAGGTTTATTTCTCTACTCTTATCAGCTACCAGTGGGGCCCGGGGAGGGGATGACAAGCACTAGCACTTACTGTAGAACGTTATCTTTCTTTTGGCCCCATCTAAGAGGATCCTCAGAAAAGGGATGTTGGCAATTGCAACCTCTGCCCAAAGTCAAAAGCAAAAACAAAACCAAAAACCTGAGGTGCTGAGGCAGAGGCTATAATTAGTGTGTTTGTGCCCCACCAAGTGTTCTGGAAATGGGGACCAGGAGATTTATAGAAAAATGAAAATGAAACAGATAAAAGGAACAACAGACCAGATAGCATTCCAGGATCCCTTTCTGATGGTTCCGCCTGCCTTTGACCCCCAGCACGTGGCTGCAGGGCCCCTGCTTCTCGCTGTCATGAGCACAGGTGGTCCCTTTCACCATAAGCAGTTCTTTTGTACAGGCCGTCTAGACCTTCCTCTCCTAACCTCACCATGGGGTCAGGGTGCTACCCAGGGTCCCACTGGCCCTATTCAGGCCCTCTTTGGACAACCATCAGCTATTCTGGGGGAGAGCTGTCCCTACTTAAGGCTGTACCCTTACATAGCCAGACCAACTTCAGAAGGGCTGTCCCTGGCTGGATTTGAGGGTAAGGCTGTCCGAGTAGCTATAGGTCTCTGATGATCCTGGGACCCTCCCCAAGTCACACAGTAAATAGTGGATTGTCCTTTATTCTGCGAGTTGATGTTATCATTTTGTTGTTGTCTTTTGATTTGGGGGTCTTCTTGCTTCCCTGGAGTGAGGATGAGGATCATACCTGAATGCTGAGTCAATAGCAGGTGCTGTTGAAGGGCCACAGGTAATTTTAAAATGACTTCTCGGAGGTTATTTTGTGCATCAATTTTGTATACAATTCGGTGATTATTAGCGACCTTACCAGTGGTGCAGCCGTTACCATAAATTCGTTCTAGCACATTTTCTTCCCCAGTAAGATCCCCATTCACAGTTAAATTCCGTGCCCTCCTTCTCCCTCTGGGCAACTTTCTGAATCTACTTTCTGGCTCGATAAATTAGCCTTTTCTTGGCATTTTATGCAAATTGAATCAGACAGTATATGGTCTCATGTCTGTTGGTGTATATTTCTTTGTAGCCCCAGTGAGGTAGCTACCATTATTACATCCTCATGTTACTGACAAGGAAATGGGTGTACAGAGACATTCAGTGACTTGCCCAAGGCCGTGCGTCCAGCTGGAGCCCTGGAATTCCAACCCACACAGCCTGGTACCAGGGCCATCCTAACCCCTGTACTCATCTCTAGCTGTTTTCCTTCTTAATGAACTTGCAGGATAAAATTCCACCATGACATCCTTTACATTTTGTTGGAAGTTTTACTGGTCTGTGAGGCCCTCAGGTCTGGAAACCACTGACCTGATGGTCCCATTTCTGATCTTTGTATTCCCTGCTTTCAGATGCATGGACTAATGAATGACCAGGGAGATACATGTCCTAGGTGGGCTCAGAGGCTGCTTTCCTGGGCTAAGGGATGCCCATAGTGAAGCAACTAGAATCTGGAGACCGGAAGTCCTTTCTTCCCTGCTGGGAGGGGCTCCTATAGAATGAATACTCATTTCCTTCTGCCTCTCACCTTTCTGCCTCCTCCCACTTCTGTGGGAAGAAGGGACTAAGAAGGGTCTGGAGGTTCTAGACGGAGCACATGTCTGTTCTGGGGTTAGCTCGTTCCTCTGCCCCTCTACCCGTCTCATATTCCAGGACTGCCTTACCTGGTTAAATCACCCATGCAGACAGAAAGGCTTCATTCCTCATCAGCGGGACAGGGAATTTGTTCAGGCCTTTGCAACTGTGTGTGCAGATGGGCATTTTTCTGTGAGAAGAAAAATCCAGAGATTCCATCACCATGTCAGAGAAGCCTTCTTAAAAACAAAAACATAAACAAAAAACAAATTTAAAAAACCCAACTAAAAGTGGATAGTGACAGCCTATTAGAGCCAGAACTCTGCCCGTACTTGACCTTCGTTAGCTCGTTTCATTCTTGCAATGGAATCATGAGGTAGATGCTAATATGACTCCCACCTACACCTGCTAAAAGTGAGGTCTAAAAAAAGTGAAGTAAACTGAACCATAGGTCACCAAAAAGTTTCCGGGTTTTCTCTTCACCCCCTTCCCCCCTTTTGAGGCACCAATCACATAACCTAGAAATAATCATTTTCAAGCATCTGATTCAGTGGCATTTAGTGCATTCACGGTGTCGTGCACCTGTCAGCTCTGCCTAGTTCCAAATTTTCCTCCTGCCCAAAGAAGTCCCTGGATCCATCAAACAGTCACTCCCATTTCCCCTCCCCTCAAGCCCTGACAACCTCTAACCAGCTTTCTGTCTCTGTGGGTTTGCCTGTTCTGGATAATTAGAGTAGATGGAATCAGACACCCTGGGACCTTCTGCATCTGGCCTCTTGCACCCTTCCTCCACGCTGTAAGGGCATCGGCACTTCATTCCCGTTGATGTTCAACAGGATTCATTGCAAGGATTTACCGCATTGCATTGCATTTACCCACTCACGTACTGATGGACATTTGGGCAGTTTCCACCTTTTGGCTGTTATGAATAGTGCTGCTGTGAATATATGTGTTCGTGTACTTGTTCAGTGCCCGTGGTCTGATCTTTCAGCTCTCTCTATCTAGGAGTGGAATTGCTGCGCCATATTGTGATTCTTTGTTCCACTTCTTGAAGAAATGACAAACCGTTGTCACAGTGGCTGCAACATTTTACACTCCCACCAGGAATGAGCAAGAGTTCCAGTCTCCATATCCTCACCAACACTTACTGTTTACCTTTAAGAAAAAGAAAAAAACAAACAAACAAACAAATAATTGTAGCCATTCTAATGGGTATGAAGGGGAATCTCCCTGTGATGTTGATTTGCATTTCCCTAACGTCTAATGGTTTTAGACATCTTTTCATGTACACCTTGGCCATGTGTATATTTTCTTTGGAGAAATGTCTCTTCCCATCCTTTGCTTAAAAAAAAAAAAAGAATGGGGGGGCACTCCTGGATGGCTCAGTTGGTGGAATGTGAGACTCTTGGGATCTCAGGGTTGTGAGTTCAAGCCTCATGTTGGGCATGAAGCCTACGTTAAAAAAAAAAAAAAAAAAAAAAACTTTTTTTTTTTTTTTAGTTGTAAGTATTTCGTATAAATTCTGGATACAAGACCCTTATCACATATATGATTTGCAGATATTTCTCCCCATTCCATAACTTGTCTTCACCTTCTTGATAGTGTCCTTTGCTGCACACAAAGTTTTAATTTGTGTGACATACAATTTATTTTTTCTTTTGTGACTTGTGCTTTTGGTGTTCTAAGGATCTGTTGCCAATCTAAGACCATGAAGTTTTTTCCCCTGTGTTTCAGCAAATGATTTTTATAGTTTCAATGGTTCCATTAAGGTCTTCAGTCTCTCTTGAGTTTGTTTTTGTATATGGCATGAGATAGGGGTCTAGCTTCATTCTTAAGCATGTGGATCACCAGTTGTCCCAGCAACTTCACTGCCCTTTTTTGGGGGTGCTTGTTTCTTGAGGCAGGGCCCAGGTTTTACTTCATTTTCTCTGCCTTCCTCAGTGACTGGGCCAGTGCCTAGCACATTGCAGTGGGTCGGGGGAGGCTCTGGTAATTGGGCATTGACTGAATGAGTGAATATGAGTGCCCAAGCTGTTTGTCTTATCCCAAGAGCCAACTGGTACATGTGAGGAATCCAGGGGTCAGTGACCAGGTCTTCTTCTTCTTTGATCAACAGGTGCAGCCAGTGTCATCGTTGGCCACCCTCTAGACACAGTCAAGGTACTGCAGCCATGTTTGCCTTTACCTCTTGGAAAGCGGCCTGGAGTGAGTCTGCCTCCAGGAATGTGTCTGCCTTTTCTGATCCCAAGACAGTCTCCAGCCCAAGGCAGATTCTCTATGCCAACCCTGGGGGTGGGGGTGGGGTGGGATGCTGGGAGGACTGGTTTGGAATCCTTGCTCTCCTCTGGTTACTTGGCAGTGATTTTGTTTTTGTGAATGTTGCATATCTGCCTCCAGTTTCTCATGGGCTGTGAGGGAGGGAGACAAGGCAATGCTAAGTATCCCTTGCCAGTCTCTGTGTAACTAAGGACCAAGAAAGGCTTCAGGCGTGAGGTGGCAGCTGAGTCCAGAATTTAAGGTTGGGTTTCAGGTGATGAGAACAGATACTCGAGGCTAGAGCTAAGGCACTGAGGTAGGGACACCGTGTGCAGGCCACGCTTGGGAAAAGCCAGCATGGCCAGTTCGGCCGATGCAGTGGGTTTGCGAAAGCTGCTCTAGATCAGAAGCCAGGAAAGGTGGGTCCGCACTCCATCCTGGGAGGCCTTCACTGTCAGAGCAGGTCTGTGGACTTGGGTTAGGAATGGGGAGCCATTATAACTCCAGGAAGTGGGGGAGGTTTGAGGACCCAACACGGCCTTCTGGCATGGAGCTCATCCATGCCCCTTGTTCTACAGATGGAGAAGCTGGCCTAGGAAGGGCAAAGGGCTTGCCTGAGGTCATGCCAGGTGTCAAAGTATTGAGGAGTGAGGGAGTGAGGCGCTCTACAAAGGGACATTCTTTGACACCACCCCCATCGCTGCCCCCTGTCCTCAGTGGCGAACAGGACTATGGAGCCATACCTTGGGGCATGGTCTCAAATAGTGCCTTCTCACCCTTGACTTGCACAGTCATATCTAAAACTTTGCCTGGATCGTGCGCTAAGACAAGCCGCTCTGGCTCTCACCAAATGGCTGCTACGATCACACACCAACCTCCCCTCCACCCCCTGCCCTGTCTTCCTCCCTCTCTGACAGCGGGCCCTCTAGGTCAGAGCCTAGGCCTGCTTTCTTCTTGATGGGGATCAGCCCCATATGGGCCTTGCTTTTTCTCATACTTTTGCATACTGGACACGTTCTGTGTGTAGACGGTATGGGGATAGCAAGGCATCAGTGGTAGACCAGGCAAATCCAATCCCTGCCCCATGGGCCTTCCAGCTACATTGCTGGCACAAGCTGCCTCTTGTGTCTCTCTGGTAGACCATCCTTCCCTTACCCCTCGCCAGGCCAGGGGCTTGTTGAAGGTGCCCCCTCCCCACAAAGGCAAGTCTGGCCACCTGAAAAGGCTGGAGTGCTCCTCCTCCTGTCCTCTCTGCCCCTGGAGTCTCTGAGGGAACCCTTCCTGATATGTCAAATCCAGTCTCTGCCCAGCCTGAGAACCTCCCCGCGCAGGGTACCAGCCTGGTGATGCCAGCTTACATGGCTGGCCTGGTCCCAGCCCAGGGATGTGGCCCAGGGCCCTTGTTACTCCCCAGAACATGCTCCTTCCTTTCTTCTGGCTTACATTTTCTCTGGAGTCCCTGTTTTAGAAAGGTCCGGGCAAGAGCTTTAGAGTCGGAATAATCTGCAGTGCATTCTCAGCCTGCCCACCTACTCTCTGTGACCAGGGTGCAGCACTTTACCTCCCCGAGCCTTGCTTTCCTCATCTGAAAAATGGGCAAAGAGCACCTCCCAGCAGGGCTCTTGTGAAGATTGTCCCTGTGGCACAGAGTCATGAGTGAACCGTTCCCATCCTGATGAACACACAAGCTTGTCTTATGTTGGGAGTGCCTTGGGACTTGTCTGAGGTCCCAGAGCTTGCCGCGGGAAGAGCCGAGCTAAAAACTCCTGTGCTGCTAACCTAGGTCGGAGGCTCTTTTCCTGCCCATGGCTGCCCCATCACTGGTGGGAGGGCCAGCCCCTGGCGGCGCAGTGGCCCTGAAGCTGGGATCCAGATTCTCACCTGCCTTTTGGCCCAGCTGGTGCATTTGGGGTGTATGCCTGATGCAGGATGCCCAGGACTTCCTGATCGGGGCTCAGCTGCCTTTAGACTGGCAGCAAACTGGTAAGGGAATGAAATATGCATGTGGTAAGCCACCAAACTTGTCATAATTTGTTACGGCAGCAGTAGGAGAACTAATACAAGAAGTCAGCTTTCTCCATCTGTAAAACGGGGCGCGTGTCCAGGCTGCATGGCATTTGTGGGATTCTGTGGGATTCTGTGAGATAAGCTCTGGAAGAGGCCCCGTACTTCCCCAAGAATGCAGTTGTTGCAACTAAATTCCAGCCCCTGTTGTAACCGAGGCCCCGGAGGCATGTGCCATGCGCCTGGCCTCCGTGGCAGCCTTCCCAAGGGCTCAGTATGGCTGGGAGACCCTTGCTCCATGGTTTTAAAACTCCTCTGTGACCTGGGATTGACTCCTAGGTAGAGCTTCCTCATGTACGATTTGCTTGAGTAACTCGGGCCCTCGAGTTTTTCAGTGGAACTTGAACCTTCTTGGGGATTCAGTCCCCAGAGGCAGCCCTGCCCACACTGGGGCCAGTGGAGAGTATCACCTCCACACCAGCATTAAATAGGGGAAAGAGGGAGGCCTGTGCTCAAGTCTCCTCACCTACATTCTTGTCCTGGTTGGGGATACCCCACCCCAAGGTAGAGCTCTGTGGGTCTGCCCATCCGTGTGAGCCCGCTTCTCATCTCTCTGCGCCTTCCCCCATGTCTTCACCTCCAGATGGTTAAATACTGCATTTTCCTTCAATCAGCCCACACTTCTGACCCCCAGGTCTGTTTTTTGCCATGGTACTTGTCCTCAGCAGACATAGATATTTGCTTGGGAATTACCTATTATTGACTCTTTTTTCCCCCCATCCCCACTTAGTTCTAAGTTCCACGAGACCAGGAAGTTGATTTCCTCTACTGCTGAAAGTCTCCTGAGAGTGGAACAGTGGCTGTTGGAAAACAGGCATTCAGTCGTACTGGTTGAATGAGTCATCTGCTACATTTCTTTGATTATGAAAGTAACACTTATAAAACATACACTACCATTTACCTGTCCTGACTGTGAGAGTGCTGTGGATTTCCCACGGCCATTGGGGTCTCTAAGCCCATGAAGATGAATGCCTATCAAGCTCGTAGCCATGCTGTTAGCCATGCTGGTTAGCTCAGGCAGGGGGGCAGGGTGAATTGAGGAGGGAGAATGTTGAATTTTTTTTTACTAAGAAAATTTATTCCCATATTAGTTGTATACTTAACATTATTTTTAAATAATGTAAATTGAAAATAATGAAAGTAACCCTTGTCTATCGTAAGAAAGTCAGACATGAAACACCTTTCAGGGCAGAAAAAACATTTCCTGTGATTTTCACCTCAGAGACCACCACCTTTATGAGTCTTTGCTCCTTACACACAGAGCTCAGGCTGTTAGTGTGACATGTTAGGCTGCACTCTGGGTCTTAGTCCTCAGGGACCCCTGGGTTCTGGTGGGCAGGGTGCGGTCACTGCTCCTGTGGTTCTTGGAGTTCCTTCTTACCAGGCACAGAGGGGGTGCCCTGACACTTTTGTGAGCCTCCTCAGACTCTCCTTGCCTGTCTACTGATGCCCCTGGTCATGAGAGCCAACCTCCAATAGAGGACACCATGTCTTCCCTTCTAGTCCCTCATTTAGCCGGTGCAAAGGGGATACATGCCAGGGCCATGCTCCACATGGGGACAAGAGGGAAATGTGAGACAGCCCAGACAGAGAGGGGGAGCCCAAATAAACCCAAAGTAAACAGAGATATGACAAGCTCAGAAACAAAGGATAAGCAGGAGCTGAAGGAAGAGCCTTCTGGGGGAAGGAAGAGCCGGTGGAGAGTTCAGGCAGGGTGGGGGAGGGGAAAGTGAGGCCAGGGATTGGGGGATGTACCACGTGGTGGGCTCAGAGGGCAGGGGCATGGAGGAAAGGACATGCAGGGGTGAGAGGCAGGCCTGGTGCCAACCCAGGCCTCATTGACACTGGTAGAGAGTGGGGGGTTTGCTCTGAATCTGATGGGAAGCCATCAGTGAGCTGTAAATAGCGATCCGCTCTTGTCAGAAGTGATCAATGTGACTATTGTGTAGACGCAGGCCAAGGGCTGAGAGGGAGCAGGAGCCAGTGGGGAAACCGCCGGCAACCAGCGCACCATCCCCGTGAGAGATGAAGGGGTTCTGGAGCTACGAAGGGCGGGTCACTCAGGGAATACTTAGGATGGCAGAGTGATGGGCAGTGGATGAGGCAGAGCCCTGGAAAGTGTTTGCACTCAAGAGGCGGGGATCATGTCCCCCAACAAACATTGCTTTCGAACAACAAAGAGACTTTTGTTCTTCTCTCAGCCCAAGAGTGCTTCTGCCACACTCAGCAAGGCCTGAAGGGGACATTGAATGAGACAGTGTCAGCAGAGGAAGCTGCACCAGCCTGGCGGGGACAGAAATCCTGCCCTCCTTCCTGGCTGGGCCAGGAAGGGCCTACAGGGCCTTCCCCTCTCTGGGCCTCAGTGCCACAAGCCCATGCTCTCTGGGGCAGTGGGGATGTGAACCATCTTGGCTTGGGCCCTCACCTCCTCGCATCTCTCCACAGACTCGCCTGCAGGCCGGCGTCAACTATGAGAACACCCTCAGCTGCATCCGCACGGTGTACAGGAGAGAGAGTGTAAGTGCCTCTGGGACAGGGCTGTCCCCCTCAGGGACTCCTGCACACAGCTTGAAGCCTGCCCGGGGCCTGGGCCCTGTGGCCAGAACCCCGACACCAGCCCGTCAGGCTGGAGGTCTGTTCATTCCTGCTCATCGCTTCTGGCTCTATGTTGCCTCTTCTCTCCTCATCTCACACCACACCTCAAATATTGTATGTCCCCTAAACTTAACCCAGCCATCTTGTGTGCTGTTACTGGGCGGGAGGGCTGATTTTGTGAAACCTCTCTGGAGAAATTCTGAGGAATTTAAAATCACAGAGTAGAAAATTCCTGCAGAAACAGGGGGACATGTCAGTTTTCAGAGCCAAAGGTGAGACCGGTAAACCGTTTGCTCACAGGTGTCCCTTCACCTCAGGTGGCGGGAGCCAGGCCCTTGGGATTCCAGATACCCAGAGCTGGCTTGTCCCTCAGGTTGCTAGAAGGCAGGGGACCTAGGATTTTCCTTCCCAAAGAGGAAAATGCGAATAATTTGTGGAAGATGTATCATGTGCCCTTCTTAAGAATGAGCGTGTGCTTTCCAAAGACTTTCTAAGGCCCTGCTTTGGGGAATTTAAAATACATTTTCTAATTAACGATGAAATGACTTGATGATTTAAAGAAATCGTTGATAGCAGCCCTGGGCTTTCCCTCAAGTACCTGGAAATGTGGCCTTCTTATCGACCACCATCTCCACAGCCTCCATCCTAGCAAGTGCCCTGGGGCTCAGGAGCCTCTTGCCTGTGCCCGGACCTTTTCCTCAGAGGTGTGTTTTGTGTCAGGGCATTGCTCAAACTCTCTTGCTGGGCTGCTTTACAATGGACTACAAGCTGTTCGGGGTGGTGTGTGATTCCCCAGTTCCCTGAGAGGTGGCCCCTGATTCTGCTGTTGGGCACACATTCTCCACAGTGCCTGCCAGCCCTAGCCGCACCCCCTCCCCCCTGCCTCTGGGCCATTTTGTGGGGATTGCAGGTGTTCCTTGGAGACACAGCACCTCAAGGCTGAGTGATGTCCCACAATATCTGAGGAAGATTGTTTTGGAAGAAGAACCTGAGGTGGGGAGGAGGTGTGTGTGCATGTGTGTATGCATGCACATGTGTGTGAAGGGGTGTGTGTGTATGTGTGCAGTGTCCTACCTCTGAACCAGGTCAGGATTAGCAGGTTTGTGTGCAGCCTGGAGTTGGTATAATAGCTTCCTGGTACTTTTTCATTTTTGGCACGGGGCTGAAAGTAAGTGCTGCCCTGACTCCTTCAAGGGCATGTGGAATATTCCAGATTTCAGAGGAGTATCTGTGATGTTCCCTGAGAGTTCAGTGTGGAAAGGACCCTCTCCTCTCAGACTCCAGCACCCTCTGCTGTGGTCTCTGCTTATGTGCAAAGGAAGCCTCTTGGTGCTATCTTTCTGCAGCTCCCTTCCCCTCAGACCCTTACCACACCCTTAGCAGGTTGAATTTTAATCACCTGTCAGTTTATCTGTTGCCCCCTCCCCTCTCCTACCCCCAGATGTGGGCTCAGTGATGGCAGCAAGTATTTCGTTCTTACAGTTGGCCCCCAGGGCCTGGCCCATGGCAAGTGCCCTAGAGAATGCTTTTGGTCGAGTGGTAAATGAGGAAGTTACGTGGGGTGCTCAGCAAGTCCACCGCCCATGAGGGCTCCATGCAGCCTGATAGCTTTCCAGCCCAAGAACACTGCCACACTGGTGGCAAATATGGGTTCCAGGCCCAGGGCACCTGGACTCAGGAAATAGAACTGCCTACAGAAGTGGGTTCCTCCCTTGGGCCAGATTGTGCCTTTCAGGGGAATGGAGAGCCACCCCTCACTCACCCACCTGGTCCCTCCCATCACATCAGCAACCTTTTTTTTTTAATTCTTGTCTCCGACATGATGATTTAGTTTTCCCGTGGTGTCACCTCCCCAGCCTGTGGGCTCCAAGAGGGCAGGGTCTATGCCGAGCACCACGTGGGGAGCCTGGCACCTGGCCTGCAGACAGCCCGAGGCCCTCATGCTTCTGCCCCCTGGTTTTCCCACAGGTGTTCGGCTTCTTCAAGGGCATGTCCTTTCCCCTTGCCAGCATCGCTGTCTACAACTCGGTGGTCTTTGGGGTCTTCAGTAACATGCAGCGGTTCCTCAGCCAGCACCACGGCCGGGAGTCTGAGGCCAGCCGGTCCCACACACTGTCTGACCTTCTCCTGGCCAGCATGGTGGCCGGCGTGGTCTCCGTCGGGGTGGGGACGCCCGTGGACCTCATCAAGATCCGGCTGCAGATGCAAACGCAGCCGTTTCAGGAAGGTAAGAGGAGGGGAGGGGCCTGGCGTCTGGGCACCAGTGGCCCTTCCCTGGTCCGCCAGATCTGGGATGCGGCTGCTTGTCTCCTTTTTGTTGAGCAGAGTACCTGCATTGTTGTCTAAGAGTCTGCAGTTACCATTTTGATCAATTGTAGTAAACAGTCATTAATTATTTATTCCATGCCAACCACCTGCTTAGCGTTCTGGGTATGATCTCGTCATTGGTCTTCCTAACAATTGTGTAAGGCGGGTGCTATGACCATGTCCGTTTTACAGAGGAGAAAGTGGAGGCTCCTGGAAGTGATGACCCTTAGACAGGGCCACACAGATAATGAATGACTGGTGGGTGAGGACCAGAGGACCAGTGGCATCATTTGTGGTGTCCAGTGCAGAAGGAAAACGGGGGACTCCTTGTTCAAAAATGATTAAGAATTTTAGAAGAGCAACCCAGAGCATTAAATCAGGCCTGGGGCCCTGAGGGACTCATGGGTCTCAAAACCACAACACCGGGGAGTGTGCTGGGAGGCCTCACCCCTGCACCACCTGTGGCCAGGGTGAGGGGTCATTCCTCTTCCCCTCCTTGACGTTCTGGTTGGAACTTCATTTCTTGGTGTGTTAAACAGTCCTCCTGAACTACAGGCTGAGTGTGTTACTTCCTTCGTCTTGAGAGAGGAGTGTCTGCGTCTGCTGTGCTTTGCCTAAAGGAGGATGGAAAGAATGGGAAGGTGCTTGCTGTTTGGAGTAGAAGGTGCCAGCTCTCGAGAAAGGATGAGCTGGGGTCTTAGACAGATTTCACTCTCTCCAAGTTTGGTTCTTGTCTCTGATGTCACTCTGTCTCCTCAGGCAAGGCACTGCTCCTGCCTGGGCCACCAGCTCCTGTCTGCATAAAGGAAGGGCTGGATTTGTGGTCCTTCCTGACACCTCAGTTATCTGATCTGGGCTGACAGCTCTCGTGGACAAGACCCCTCTTGCTGGCAGCCTTCTGAGTGGGCTGCCTTGAGCCCTCTGCCCACAGAGGCCAGGCTCGGCTGGGCTCATCTGGGTTCTGTGGCCAAAGCCCAGAGAGTGCACTTGGGAGCTTTCCAGCCCAGTAGCTCTCCTGCCCCTAGCCCCAGCGCCTTGATTCAGCCTGCATATCTTGCCCGGCCCAGGAGGTTTCCAGGACAGGACTGCATACCCCCTATTGCTGCTCTCCTCACTGGGGCCCGTGGAGAGCCTGGGGCCAGCTGCCCTAACATGTCAGGTCATGCCTGAGGGACACTAAGTGGTCACTGTCAGCATGTGGGGTGACACGGGACCCCAGCAGGCTGGCTCAGCCTGAGGGTCACAGCATACCGTCTTTGGGGCCATTCAGAGAGATACAGGGCAAGGGGTTTCCACATCCCTCTACTCGACATACTGAGCCATGTCTTGGTATAGTTTAGTTTCACCAAAGGGTGACACCTCATAGAAGTGTTTGAAGCTCACTGATCTGGTCCCGTCCCAGAGACAAAAGCAAACATGTTGAGGAATGAAGGGCGTCATGAGCAGATTGAGAATGAGGAGGCCTGGCCCCCACGTTCACATTTGGCTCTGTCCCTCTCTCAGAAAAGCTTGTGTCAGTCTCAGGTGTGGAGGAAATCTCTCTCCCTAAGTCTTCAGACACTTTGGGTCCAGATGTTGGAAGAATTACCAGTGATGGGTCTCCTCTGCTCATGGGAGCAGACCTGCCTCCTTCACAACCTGACACTTTGACCCTGGAAGGGGAGGAAGAAGGGGAGGCATGCATTCATATATTGGGCGAGGTGAGGCACAGTGAGCCTGGACACCAAAGGAGATGTTTCTCAAAAAAACACCTTCCTTATAAACACCCGGGACAGTTGGAGGTAAATTAATTGATTGTATCCTCTGTCCTGTCCTCCTTCACCCCTGCCTTCCCTGCAGAGGGTGCTAGAATGGTAACTAACTTGGCAGGCAGAGGCCTGAACTACAAGGAATCCTGAGGCTAGGCTAGGAGCCTCTGGAGCTCGGAAGAAGGATGGGAGGCTGTCAAAGAATGGGTAGACCCAAGAAGGGTCCCAAAGCTGGGTGTGCAGCAGCAGCCAATGTTAGGGACATGAGCAGTCCCCATCGGCAGCTGCTAAAACTGCCAATCCACTCACCATATGCCCGATACTTAATACACATTACAGTACCATAAGGTCTTCTTGGCTGCTAGCCCTGTTCATTTATCCAGTGTGCTATGTATGCACCTGCTGTATGCCAGGCACAGAGCTAGGTGCTAGGGATGCAGTGGTGAAGAAGTGTCTACATCCTATCTGTCCTGTAATGCTCTTTCCAGCAGAGAGCAATTGGGCAACTCCAGATGTGGTGGTAGGGGAGGAATCAGGACAGGCTGGGGGTCAGGAAGGGCTTTGGGGCAGGTAGAAGGAGGGTGGAGGGATTGTTGCAGATCAGGTCTGTGCACACGCTCACGACTACGTTGAGGGTTACCCCTGCCTGCTTGCCAGGGCCTGAGCAGTTGTGGAGAACAACTGCCTACCTGGGAAGTCCAGATCCTTCTGGGGCCTCATTTCCTGGATAAGCTCTATGAGCAGTGAGAACACGGGGTCCAGGGTGCTCTCCCCGCCCTTGCCACCATAGGAGGCATTGAACAGCGTCCGAGGAGGGTGAGTTCCTGGCTCTGCTCCTGTGTGGGTAGGCCACAGTCCGTGGCTTTGTCAGTTCATCATAGTGCCAGAAGGAAACTTGTCCTCTTTCATCAGTCCCTTGAGGCAGCAACAAAAAATGAACATGTGTTTATTCTGTCCTTTTCAGTGTGCCAAGAACTGGCCTTGTGTGAACTCAGGGAAGGCTCTCAACAAGAAGCCAAGGGAGGTTCCTGTAGGCCAGGGTTTCTCAGCCCTGCTGAGTTCTAAGTCATTAACACCTGGGCCCAGCTGTTTAGCAGGCAGCTAGAGACAAAGACCGTTTACCCAAGCAAGTGCAGGGAGAGTAGAAATCAAGAGTGGAGGGTCCACCTGAGCTGTGTTCCTCAAGCCTCTGATCTGGGCGAAGCCAGGTCACAGCAGTGGGGGCAGAACAGCCAGTATTTACTGATCCCTTACCCTGCGCCAGGTACTACGCTAGGAGCTCTGTAAGTGTTTAATCTTTCTAGCAACCCAATTCCTAGACATTAACAAAGGGGAGCCTGAGGCATCAGCAGCTTCTGTAGCTGGCCTCGGGTCACTCCCCTAATGGGAAGTGGAGCCGGGATGGAGCCCCAGGCTTTCTGACTCACAGCCCACTGATGCTATTTCTGCTTCTGCCCTGGGATTTTGAGATGATGGCAGCTTTCGTAACACCTGGGCCTTTGCACAAACTCATCCCAAATCCGGCTTCAAACGGGAAGGGGGAAGTAGGCTGGGAACATGTCTCCAAAATAACATTGTTCAGGTAGTGGGCATAGCTCTTGGATTCCCAGGGGTGGGTCTGAATGCCATGGCTTTGGGCAGCCCCTCTCTGCCTGACCTGTTGTTCCTCACCTTCCACCCCAGCTGCTTGGGGGAAGGTCTTTGGTGGCGGGGCAGGATCACTACTGGGGCTGGAGGAGGGCAGGTAAGCAGTGCTTTTTGCCAGGAATCTTCCCAGGAAGGGAGAAAGGATGTGGTTTTCTTTTACTTGTCCCTCAGAGACCCTCTAGGCCAGAGATGGAAAGTTCAAAGACTCACTGGGACCAGGGAGGTAACATAAGTGAGTAACTTCTTCCATTTATTTTGACACCCACAGCCCTGCTAACCCGCACCTCACTTTTCCTCTTCAAAATGTGAGCATAAAACACGTTTCACTTCCCTATGACTCTGCTGTTACAAAAGCAGCAGGTCCCACACGTGTCTGCTCTGGTGCTGGGGAGATAATAGGGAGTGGTGGGGACTGTGGCAAGCCAAGCCCACATCCTGTCCGAGGGGGTGGCTTCAGCTCTGTTCTAGGTGATGGATGCCATGTGGCCTGAATTGGAAATTGTCATATAATTTAATTAAGAACAAAAGCAGATGCGAACACCACACCCTGAAGCCTAGCAGAGCATGGAGCTGGTAGTGTGGGGCTAGTGCTACCTGAGAGCTTGTGGTCTCGGCCCTGGGTCAGGCCCACTCTGTGGGGTGACTGTGCTGAGATGGGTGTTTCCAGACAGCCTCAGGCCAGGCTTGTGGGATTGTCCATAGTCTGTGGATTTACCCTAGAATGCCCCAACCACTTCCTGGGTGGAGAAGATGGGCCATGAGGGAGTGCCCCCATATACTGAAGCTGAGTGCTGGAGGCTTCTGGCATCTGGGACATGTGACAGGTAGAATAGAGGCCGCATCGAGGTAAGAGGTAAGCTACCTGAAGGCTTGCAAATAGAAAGCCACTGAGCTCATTCTGATGAACTATTCGTGCTGACTTGCCGTTGAAAATGTACACAAGCTAGAACATTTAATGTGGAGGGAGAAGATGTCCATCCACCCAAATCCAGTCGCTGTGAATACAGTAATGTGTTCCTTTTCTAAATGCATAGATAAAACATGTTAAGAAGTGGTACTCCTCCAGCTTCATATCCTCTTTTTAACTTAGTTTACAACATTTTCCATGTTATGAAAATGCATTTAAAATGATTAACAATAGACGACTAATATTTAAAATAGACATGCATTATAACATCACTGTGTCCATGAGCACACACGTTTTGAGAGGGATGGTGCAACGTGGCAAAAATTCAGTTTCCAGAGTTTGATTACCTGCTTCTAATTCTCCCCCACAACCCAGGAACTCTAGACGATTCCCCTCAAGTCACCAAGGCTCCATTGACTCATCAGCAAAGCAGACGTAGCGACGGTAGCTACCTCACAACTGGGATGGAATGGGAGGACGGATTTCACATGACGATCTGAGCATCAGGCCTGGCACACTGAGCACCTGAAACATAAATGTTTGCTGTAATACTGAACTTAGGTCACACCTTCCTAGGGATGGACCTTGACATTGTTGCTGGTTCATCCTCTTTCACAC